CCTTGCAAATGGTGATGCTAGGTATGGTTTCGTATTAAGTACCTAATTATTAGAATCAACATGCCCGGAAGGACATCGACATACGACAAACAAAACACACGGAGAACAAACACCCGAAGCCTGTCTAACAAAAAGTTATTACTTACCCCCGCCTATGATCATTTTCTTCGAAACCTTTTACAATTTTTGCAACCACTGTCTCTTTAGCCGTATCTATGACCACGATCGTAACTCGAAGTGTATGAGTGTTGGCTGTATACATAACACATGCATACAATACGTGGAGTCGTTTCGAGAGAATTTCGCTGGCTGTAGATCACATCACCTTCGTACAATGCGTTTCACTCTGTAGATGAGAAGCAAAGTGTAGCATTCTTCTATTCGTCGATTAATCGTTTCATCAATGCTGAGAGAGCAATATGTTGATATTAGCAACAAAATGAAAAGACAAGAGAAATGGTGGAAACAAAGAGGCAAATGAAGGATCAATGTACATCGAATTTATTTAACTTCGTGGTAAATTGTTCGTTTCGTTGGGCAGCACTTACAGTCGCGAAAGGATTCGCGTATCATCCATTATCGTCGATGCAACGACTCTGGAAATATCATGAGAAATTCGTTCGTGGATAATTGATTAAGGATGATCGCGCTGTTTCTATTTAAAGAAGGAAAGTAAACGCGAGACCTGTACTATGGGAGCACAGTGTTGTGTATTGTCTACGTGATCGGCCATGACCATTCATTAATTTTAAAATATATCGATGAAAAATAATTGCCTTTTCCATTTGTAGAAACTTGAAAAGATTAATATCACTGATTTATATCGCGTGATATAATTGTTCGAGCCTTTTTCAGCTTATACTTTTGCAGCTGTGGGTAAGTAGTTGCTTCATACTTTACAATTCGATCGAAATCGATGAATCTATGCATTATTGAGCTCGAATGGTTTGAAGGCATAGGGAATCAGAAAATATTAATCTCTCCTACTGTCAAAACAGAGTAATTGTTTTTATTAATTCAATAACCACGGATAAAAATAATTATTATTAAGTTAATGAATAACTTACATGTTTCAATGTTCTGATTTATGCGCATCTACATTGCGCAGCACATTGTGTAAGTTGTAACACAGTTTAGTTTTTCATACTAAATTCTTTATGCCCAAGAATTATTCGATCGTATCATAAATTATTTTATCATCACGTCTACGTTCTGAAATATACGATCAAAGTTTATTGTGCACTTGGAATACACTTAATGCTTGAAAATTGTCTTTCGTAATGCTATAAAATCGATTTTACCAGCAACAATGTATGTTGCTCAAATGTATTGGCACGACATATTCCCTTAGTCTTTCTTAAAATCCTTCTTAATCGTTTATTCATATTTGCTACAGATCGATTGTTTCAGAAAAATTTGAGAAAGGAAACATCGTTGTGAAGAATTTTTCCATTTTATGTAGCCATACTGTAACTATAAAAGGACAGTCGGGTTAGCGCCCTATACGAGACACGGGTATAGCGTCTGTTATAGCCATTTCTATTATTGATAAGCACACTGACGCGTATCAGTCGAACTATCACGTGATTATGCATATGTGCATATGAATAATAAGGAAGACCTTGTACAAAACTCCTGCGTATTTCCATGGAAAAAAAAAAAATTCTAATTAATTATTAATTGATTGTGTCATGCGATAGCTCAACGTTTAAGTATAGATACAGCTCTGTAAAGTACAATCACATGCACAAACGAAACGAAACTATTTCTGTATCTGGACTACAATATCAGTACCGTAAACGAAACTTGAACTAAATCAATTTTTAGGAATGAGTATTTCGTAGTAGGCAACAGGTGTCAGTCATCTGCCCCAATTGGCGGATCTTGTAAAAAATTAGCACGCAATAAGAATAAACGTAATCGAACCATTTAGATCGTTCCTGTAAGTGTTACAACAACAAACAGCAAAACGAATAAAAGATTATAAGAAACGTTAGACGAAGAAAGTAGTAGTATCGATTCTTGAAAAGAATCATGTCCGACTTGCTCATAATTTTAATGAAATTCAAGTCCAAGAATTATTTTAATCTTTATATGAACGATTTAACTGTGTCGACTACGTGCCGATGAAAAAAAATCTCTTGCCTAAATGTTTAATTAGCGGTTAAAAAAAAAATAATAATAAAATAAAATAAAAATAAAAAAAAAACGAAGAAAAGAGGTGACAGGTACAGTTAAGAAAAATGTACAGACAAATCTTATGCGATCATGACATTATCGCGACGCGTCTTACGCGAGGCAGTATGTACGAGTACCGTTTTAAAAGAAGATAACTCCTGAAAGAAGTTATTCACCTATTTTTAATTCTCTTGAAAAATTGGTTTCAATTCTTCACCTATGTACGATTGAAACATAAGGGGACAAATTGTGTATTGTGAATTATTTGAGACGGAAACTGCTCGATCGGTAGAGAGATTCGTTATTTTTTCAGCTGTACGCCGATGTTTAAATATGGCGCTTTCTGCACGCTCTTTCCGTGCAATAATGTTTTCATTTCTATTGCGCACGATTACGTACGATGAATAATTATGTCATTTCGATCTTACCTGCGATGTTAATGCTAAATGATGATTTTGTAATGTAAACACGCATACACACATACGAAGGAGGATATCCAAATGAAAAGAAAGAATGTACACACAATCCAAATGGACGTATACACGTATAGCGGAAAGTACGTATCAAGTAAAAATGATTCATCTTAAAAAGTGTTTTCTGGCAAAAAAAAAAAAATAAAGATCTGTTCCATTTTTCCTTTCTAGCTGTAATAATATACAAGAATTGAATATGTATCATACCTTTATCTATTGTCAAGTCTTTACCTTCTCTCAGTGTGATAGCGATAACAAGAGTGGGGGGAGGGGAGGGGGG